CAGCTAAACTGGCTCTGGTTCCCCATTTACCGTAGGACCTACGCCACCCTGCGGCTCGGACTGTATTTGCTGTTGTACTGGCCGAATTTGGGCATTGTAAAGTATGCGCAGTCTGAGTTGCTGTGTTATGACAACATACCGGTATAAACAACTATGCTGATATGTGTTGAAGTTTTAGAAACCCTGATTGATGAGTATTTTCATTTCTTACAACCTTGTAAAATCAATGTTTCACACCAGACGACACTGAAAATCAGTGTAACCCTTCTAGGGACACTGAGTGCGCAGGGTACCCAAAAACCAATCTGAACCCCTTGTGGTGCAGCTTGAAAATGTCGAGACCTCGGAGCCTGCAATCGAGGATTTTGTCAGAATATATTGTGTTGTTTAGGCTGTAGTGGGGTAGCCCATATGGGGTACAACCCAGTTAGGGTTAGTACTTGTACCAAACTCATTCATTGTTTATTCATTCATGCTGCTAGATTCTGACACGGTTTCAGCGCAGTTCCTGTTCCAGGACCGTTTCCGTTAGGGCCCACCCGATCGTACCCTGCCCGTCGCGCTGCCCCACTCGTCGCGCTGCTTTGCCCTGCCCTGCCCTACGTAGCGCTGCCTGCGCACGCTCTACCGTGCCTGCGTCGCGCCTCACCCGCGCACGCCCTGCCCTACGTCGCGCCGCCTCGCGCACGACCTGCCTGCGTCGCGTCGCGCGCGTATGCCCTGCCCTGCGTCGCGCCGCCCGCGCGCGCCCTGCCTGCATCGCGCCGCGCGCGTACACCCTGCCCTGCCCGTCGCGCCGCCCACGCGCGCCCTGCCCTGCCCGCGCGCCGCCCGCGTACGCCCTGCCTGCGTCGCGCTGCCCGCGCCCGCCTTCCCCTGTGCCGCACCGCCCTGCGCACGCACTGCCCTTAGTCGCACCGCCCGCCCGCGCGCCCTGCTGTGCCCCTGCGCCGCCCTACGGGCCGCGCGCGGCCCATTTTCTACCCGCGCACTGCCCTGCCAGCCGCGCGCCGCCCCTGCATGCCCGCGCGCAGCCCTGTGCGGACCCGCGCGCCGCCTCGCTTGCTTGCCTGCGCGCCGCCCGTTTGCAGCCCGCGCGACGCCCTTGCCTGCCCGCCCGCCGCCCTACCCAACGAGCTAAACCTAGTGCCTGCTCGCCGCCCTGCCTTCCCGAGGTGCTGCCCTACTGTTCGCACGCCTCCTTGCTTTGCCCGCTATGACTTCTCTTCGTGGTAGCGGTGGGAGTGGTGGCAGCGGTGGTGGCACCAGTGGGAGTGGTGGCGGCGGTCGTAGTGGCAATCGCGGTGCAGCTGTTCGGTGGGGTGTTTCGGCGGTGGCCAGATGCAGCTTCAGCGGCGTCCGCGTGTGACCCTTATGTCCCAGCAGCTTCGTGAGTAGTATGCTCAGCGTGGGGCGTCTAGGAGTAATGCTCGTTGCCCGTACGTCGTTCGCATAGGTGATCGGGCTGGTCAGACTTGAGGGACAGTTGGCCACACGTCATAGTCCCGCTGCTTCTCCTACCTAGGCGACGCCTGGCGCGCAGAGTTTGGCGACAAGGCTGAGCTCCCCCGCTGGCTAGAGCTGCTTCGGAACAATGTGGATATATTTGCTCTAGACTATGACGCTATCCTTACTGCCATGTATGCTTTGACTGTTGGTACTGAGGGTGACTGTTACCTGTGTGTGCCGCCCGACCCTCGTATTGAGGCTGCTGCCCTAGGCGCTAGTGAGTCTGTTCTCTCTCTGGTACTGCGCCTGCTGAGGCCTTGCACACCTTCACGCTTGACTCAGGTGCTTCCCGCTGCTTCTTTCGCGACAGTACCATAGTCACACCACTCCCTAGACCCGTTGCGGTCTCACTGGCTGACCCCTCCGGGGGCCCAGTTCTTGCACGTTCCTCCACTATTCTCCCGTGTCTGGCGGGTCTGTCTGGCACGCTGTCAGGTCTCCACCTCCCCTCGTTCTCGACGAACTTGGTGAGTAACGCAGTCCTTCAGGATGCATGGGTTGACACCTTCACCCCTGGAGGACAGCGTGTGGCGATCTGCACATGCTCCCAAACTGGCCGTCACCTGGCCACGTTCACCCGTCGGCCTGGGTCGAGTCAGTACACACTGACAGCTGAGCCTCCTCAGGTCGCTGCGTCTGCTCAGGTGTCCGCGTCCGGTCAGGTAGCAACCTCCTGCGAGTGTTGCCTCCTGTCGCATCAGAATCTCCTTCGGCACCACCGCCTTGGTCACCCCTCCCTGCCACGCCTCCGTGGCATGCACTCCCGCCTCCTTGTCTCTGGTCTTCCCAGGTCTTTGCCTCCCCTCCCACCCTCGCCTACCCTGCCCTGCCTTCCTTGCGTCGAGGGGCGGCAGCGCGCCGCTCCTCACTCCTCCTCGTTTCTCCCGACGATTGCACCCCTGCAGACTCTCCACATGGACATGTGGGGCCCAGCCCGCGTCCAGGGACAGGGTTGCGAGCGATAATTTATGCTGGTTGTTGACGACTACTCGCGTTACACCACGGTCTCCCCCTTGCGTAGCACGGACCCGAGGTCCCTGATGTCTTGATCCCTTGGATCCGCGCTGTCCGTCTCCAGCTCCGCGAGCGGTTCCGCACGGACCTTCTTGTCCTGCGTCTGCACTCTGACAGAGGTGGTGAGTTCTTCTCCGACCTCTTGCGGGACTTTTGTCGTGGGGAGGGCATCCTCCAGTCGTTCACGCTTCCGGGCTCTCCGTAGCAGAATGGGATTGCTGAGCGCCGCATTGGCTTAGTCATGGAGGTGGCTCGTACCTCCATGATCCATGCTGCTCCTCCCCATTTTCTGTGGCCGTTTGCGGTCCGGTACACTGCGCATCAGCTCAACCCCTGGCCCCGTGTCTCCTTGCCGCAGATCTCGCCTACACTGCGTTGGACGGGGGAGGTTGGCAATGCGTCGCGGTTCCGCGCCTGGGGCTCTCGTGCCTTTGTCCGTGATACCACCGCGGACAAGCTCTCCTCTCGCGCCATTCCCTGCGTCTTCCTTGGCTTTCCTCCTGACGCGCCTGGCTGGCAGTTTTACCACCCCACCTCGCGCCGGGTTTTGTCCTCTCAGGACGTCACGTTTGACGAGTCGGTTCCCTTTTACCATCTCTTCTCCTGCCCCACTGCCCCTCTCCCCCCCCGCCGCTTTTCCTTGCGCCAGGTCCCCCTCTGGTAGACCCCCTCCCCCCTCAGGGTCCTGCTCCTTCAGGTGTCTCTCAGGTAGACCCACTTTTCCTGGCTGAGCCTGTCGAGGTCACTGGTGACTCTGGTGCTGTTGGGGGTGGTGCTGCGCCTAGGGGTGCTGAGCCTGCGGGTGCGGAGCCTGGGGGTGCTGAGCCTGAGCGTGAGGAGCCTGGGGGTCCTGAGCCTGCAGGTACGGAGCCTGGGGGTGCTGAGCCTGGGGGTGGTGAGCCTAGTGGTCCTTCGTCTCCCCGGCGGGAGCCTCTCTCACCACAGCAGCTGCGTGAGTGGTTTGCTCGGCGCACCCGCCTTCGGGCTGGCACTGCTGGAGCTGGAGGCGCTGGAGCTGGAGACCCTGGAGTTGGAGGCTCTGGAGCTGGAGGCACTGGGGCTTGCGGCCCTGGCGCTGGAGGCACTAAAGCTGGAGGCGCTCCGGCTGGAGACGCTAGAGCTACTCGGGGTGCTGAGCCTGGGGGTGCTGAGCTTGGGGGTGCTGAGTCTGGGGGTGCTGAGCCTGGTGGTGCTGCGTTTGCTGATGGTCCTCCGGGTGCCTTGCCGCAACGGTCTGGCCAGCGAGAGCCTCTCTCACCACAGCAGCTGCGCGAGTGGTTTGCTCGGCGCACCCGCCTTCGGAGTCTCGCTACTGGAGCTGGAGGCGCTGGAGCTGGAGGCACTGGCGCTGGAGGCGCTGGGGTTGGAGGTCCTGGAGCTGGAGGCACTGGAGCTGGAGGCGCTGGAGCTGGAGGCGCTGGAGCTGGAGGTGCTGGAGCTGGGGACACTGCCGCTGGAGGAGCCGACGCTGGAGGTACTGGAGCTGGAGGCGCTGACGCTGGAGGTGGTGGAGCTGGCGGTGCTGGAGGTACTGGGGTCGCTCGTCCTGGAGGTACTGGTGCTGGAGGCACTGTGGAGCCTCTCTCCCCACAGCAGCTGCGCGAGTGGTTTGCTCGGCGCACCCGCCTTCGGAGTCGCGCTGCTGGAGCTGGAGACACTATCGCTGGAGGCACTGGAGCTGGAGGTGCTGGAGCTGGAGGCGCTGGAGCTGGAGACGCTGGAGCTGGAGGTGCTGGAGCTGGAGGTGCTGCTGCTGGAGGCACTGGAGCTGGAGGCGCTGGAGCTGGAGGCGCTGGAGCTGGAGGCGCTGGAGCTGGAGGCGCTGGAGCTGGAGACACTACCGCTAGAGGCACTGGCGCTGGAGGCGCTGGAGCTGGAGGCGCTGGCGCTGGAGGCACTGAAGCTGTAGACACCGGAGCTGGAGGTGATAGAGCTTGAGGCCCAAGTATAAATTGGATGGGGTACTTTGGATGGGGTACAAGTACCAACCCAAATTGGGTAGTTGAGCTGTGGATAGGAGGGGATGATCCACAAAACAATCGCAAAATTCAGATCTGAAGTTGCATTTGCAATGCGCGAACTCATGTCTAAATTTCGAGACTCAGGTTTGAGTTCTCCAAATCGCGAACTCAGCTGATTGATTTTTTTTTTCCGGTCAGCCCGAGCAGAACTTGGCAAATTTTAGAGAAATCCGCAGCGTACGAATTCTAAATGCATATAAACTCGATACGCAACTTCAAACTCGTGTTTTTCTCCAACTTAGGTCCATACATGTACAGACTTACGTGCTAAAAAGCAACCCCATTTTCTGGCCCATTTACCAGTGTACAGCCCGCAACCTTGATGCTAACACATCGCCCTGCTCATCTCCATCTCCACCTTCTCCCTCTCTCTCCTTTGCCTCCCGCCCTGTCCTGACCATCTTCTCACACAATTGGAGTGGCCCACCGGCATGGAGTGAGGGCAAGGCGGCTCTCATGCTCACAGCACCGCACCTCACACTACACCGCGCGATCTTCCACGTCTCCCTGCCGCTGCCGCCCACCTGGAAGCACCACGCCGCCGGCTTGCCAGTGCCACGACAGTGGTACCTCAAGACGTTGATGTGCACGCGGTACTTGGTGACGTTGATGAACAAGCGGTACCGGGTGACGCTCATGGACAAGCGGTACCGGGTGACGCTCATGGACAAGCGGTACCCGGTGACGCTCATGGACAAGCGGTACCCGGTGACGCTCATGGACAAGCGGTACCCGGTGACGCTCATGGACAAGCGGTACCCGGTGACGCTCATGGACAAGCGGTACCCGGTGACGCTCATGGACAAGCGGTACCGGGTGACGCTCATGGACAAGCGGTACCGGGTGACGCTCATGGGCAAGCGGTACCCGGTGACGCTCATGGACAAGCGGTACCCGGTGACGCTCATGGACAAGCGGTACCCGGTGACGCTCATGGACAAGCGGTACCCGGTGACGCTCATGGACAAGCGGTACCCGGTGACGCTCATGGACAAGCGGTACCCGGTGACGCTCATGGACAAGCGGTACCCGGTGACGCTCATGGACAAGCGGTACCCGGTGACGCTCATGGACAAGCGGTACCCGGTGACGCTCATGGACAAGCGGTACCCGGTGACGCTCATGGACAAGCGGTACCCGGTGACGCTCATGTGGACAAGCGGTACCCGGTGACGCTCATGGACAAGCGGTACCAGGTGACGCTCATGGACAAGCGGTACCCGGTGACGCTCATGGACAAGCGGTACCTGGGCACCATGCATAGTAGCTTGCGCAACTCCAAGGCATTCAAGGGGCTGCATAGTGGCAAGGACACCATTGTTGTTACTCAGTGCGGGTGAGTGGATGGATGGGCGGTGCGTGTGAATGAATCCATGGGTAGTGGGGTGCACTCACATACACATGGAGACAACAGCTGATCCACCAACCAGGTCTCACAATTTCTCACCTTATGCCCATTGCCAGCCACATCTACCCCGCTCCCCTCTTCAACCCACATTGCTACTGCCCTCCCAACTCATTCGAAAGTTATCCCTCCCTTCCTTCCTACGTCCCATGACCAACCACGCTCAAACCAGCCAACTCTTTGACCCCCTATTCTTCCCAATAGAGGGTCTACAAATGGGATGATAATCGAGGAGGACCCGTTGTTTCTGCCCGAGTGCAATGCTGATGTGGCTCTCTTCTGCATCTTCGCCTACCCCGCCCTCATGAACACCTCCTTCGCCCTCGTCCCCGCCAGCCGCTGCCTGCTCGTCTTTCCCACCTCGCTGCTCTCCCGCATTCAAACCCACCCTGGCGCCATCACCCCGGTATGGAAGCAGTGCAGGCCCCCATCATCCCGTGGTATGGTAGTAGTGCATGATTGGTGATGGGTGAAGGGCGATGGGCGGTGGGTGATGGGCGATGGGCGTGTCAGAATCCCAGCCACTAACCACTGGGATAAAAGGACTTGTTTGTGTAGCGGGTGAGTGCACCCATAACCCCCCAGGCCGATGTGCCTGTAACCCTTCCCTAGGATCAATCGGGGATCACCAGTGGACCTCTGACACCCCCCCGCACTAGGATGCCCGAGGTGCACACACTGGGATTCGAACCCGAGTCCTTCGCTCTGATGTCATGTCAGAATCCCAGCCACTATCCATTTGGATAAAAGGGCTTGTTTGTGTAGCGGGTGAGTGCGCCCATAACCCCCCAGGCCAATGTGCTTGTATTTTTTTCCCTAGGATCGATCGGGGATCACCAGTGGACCTCTGACAGGGCGATGGGCTATGGACGATGGGTCATGGGCCATGAGCCATGAGCCATGAGCCATGAGCCCTCATTCTAGGTCACTCGTGGCTCTCATGAGGCCCACACTGCATGTTTCGCCACCTTGTGTCTGGCTGCGTCTTCATGTGTTCCTTGCATGGGCAGGAATGGTGTGTGATGTTTGTAAACATGGTGTGATGTGTGTAGGCATGGTGTGATGTAGGATGCAGTACAATGTGTAATAACATGCATCACACCATACAATGCATCACACCCCATGCATCATACCATGCCATGCATCGTGTCGTGCCAGGCCATGCTTCACACCAATCGCTCATCCCTCTCAGCAAGCAGCGAAGAAGCATAGGCAGCGGTGTGTGTCAATATTTTGTTAGCATCAAATAAGATCCTCATGGGCTCAGCAAACCAGTCTTCCATTTCACCCCTCTCATCCCCCTCCCTCATCCCGTCCATCAGGCCTCTCGTTATCAGGGTAAAATACCCTTTTTGCACTGACTGGCGGCCGCTTTTTTTCAGTTACCCTTTCACAGGCAGGGTAGTGGATTTTTTACCCTAGGCCAGAAAGTGTAAGTTTTTTTGTACCCTTTGAAAAACAGCGTAAGGAACATATTTCTCTGACTGTACATTGTACAATCCCAGTTACACTGATACTGAATGCTCCGTAGCGAGGCGAAACCCTATACGGGCCCTTGCAAAATGTACCCAACTGCAAGATTCGAACCCGCGAGCATTCAGATCAAACTTTTATCAAAACCAATTGAGCCACTATGTGTTAAGTCTGACAACTTTGGTATTATTATTATCATGGGTTTTTTAAAATTACCCTGCATTTGTCAGGGGAAATAAAAATTACCCTACGCATCAGGGTTGACTATACCTAGAACCCTGATTACTAAGGGTGGCCCAAAACGAATCTGAAGCCCTGCCGTCCATCCCCCCATTCTGTCCAGCAAGCAGCGGAGAAGCGGTGGCAGCGGTTTGTGTCACTATTCGAGGAGTATTTAGCATCAGATGAGATTCTCATACGCTCAGCCATGACTGCCCTTAAATCACATGCCGGGGGGATCTTCCCCTTGCAATTCATCCCATTCCATTCATATGCCCTCACAAAGTGAAAACAGCGGAATGAGTTAGATTGATTGTGTTGGGGTACAAATGCCTAACCCTAACTGTTTGTACCCCATATAGCATGTCCCACTAGAGGCTATAACATTTGACACACCCCCATAGCCTAAGTGGGGAATGCCAAGCAACAAAAAACACAACCTAAGGTCACAAGACCAGTCACAAGCAAGAGAGCAAACAGAGCTCAGGGTGGATCACAACGTCACCACCAGTCTGAGCACAAACAAGAGGCCACAAGGCCAGTTCAAGAGAGTACAAGCTAATATATATAGTACAAACAAACAAGGGGCAAGAACTCACTACTGCAGTCTACTAGACCCAGTCTCAACGAGGCCTAACTGCAGACAAAACCGGCGGTGGTCACAAGGCTGAAGGGTTTTGATGTCTGCAGTGTTGGCCTCGGAGGCCACGAAGTCCAGACGCGCCTGACCGCGTCTCTGCAACTCTCGAAGGAGGAAGTACCTGACGTCGATGTGCTTCACTCTGCTCTCCAGTCGAGGCTCACGACACAGGAGAATCATCGCCTTGTTGTCAGCAAACAAGGTCGGTGCAGAGCTCGGCCGCTCACCAAGGTCAGTGAGCAAGAAGGTCAACCAGCGTAGCTCCTGTGCAGCAAGGGCTCCAGCGTAGATCTCGGCCTCTGCAGTAGAAGTCAAAACAGAGGAGGACCGAGTAGACCTCCACGAAACAGCTCCAGAGCCCAGACTGAAACAGTAACCCTGCGTAGACCTCTGAGTCTCAACGTCGTCGGCGTAGGAGGAGTCGCAGTGACCGGTGAGTACAACTGGCTGTGTCCCTCCAAGTACAAGCCCCATGTCTGATGTCGTGGCAAGGTACTTCGCCACCCTCTTAGCCGCCGTCCAGTGAACAGGACGGTGTCTCCCAGTCGCAACAAAGCGAGAAAGGATGCTAAGAGGGAAGGCGAGGTCCGGGCAAGTGCACGTCATCAGGTACATGAGGCAGCCCACCAACTCTGCGTAGGGACCACTGGGCTCGAACGGCTCGTCAGGAAAAGGCCCAGTGAGTCTGTGGTCTACAGCAAGAGGGGTGGGTGTAGGAGAGGAGTGCTAAAGCCTGAACCGCTGAAAGACCTGCTGCACCATGTGTGACTGAGTCAGAGTGATGGTGCGAGCGGCTCTGTCCCTGGAGATCTGCAGGCCAAGGTAGCGGCGCAGTTCCCCAAGGTCAGTGCAGGTGTGTCTCTTCTGCAGTTCGGACTTCACCTCCGCCAGTGCAACTGTGTCGGCTGTGGCAAAAACCAAGTCGTCAACGTAGACCAGAACGAAGAAAGGTGTGCGCCCACGACGAACAAACAGCGACGGGTCGGCGGAAGACGGCTCAAACCCGAGGTCGGACAGAGTAGAGCGGAGAGTGTCGTGCCACTCACGGGGTGCCTGACGGAGACCGTAGACCGGTCGTCTGAGGCTCCACTGGGTCCCAGGCGGGAAGGTGCCAGTGAAGCCCGGAGGACGACGCAGCCAGATCTCCTCGTGTAGGCTGCCCTGCAGGAAGGCGGTGGAGAAGTCGAGGGAGTGTAGCTCGTAGTCCCTCTGTGCCGCTACGTGAAGTAACACCCGAAGAGTGGTCATCTTCGGGGTGGGCACGAAGGTCTGAAAGAAGTCAACTCCCTCACGCTGACTGAAACCTCTAGCCACGTAGCGTGCCTTGAAGACTGGGGGAGATCCCGGCGGCCGCTTCACCTTGAAGATCCACATGCCGTCAACTATGTTCGCCCCTGGGGGGGGAACCTCGTCAACGTAAGTGCCTGTGGACCTGTAGGAGGCCATCTCTGCGTCCATGGCAGCTCTCCACTGAGAGGCCCAAGGCCCTGACACTGCCTCAGCGTAAGTGCGAGGAGTAGGTATGTCAGGAGCGTCGGGGTCTCCCTCAGGAGTGAGCAGCATGGCACAGAGATGAGGTGAAGCAGCTGCCAGGAACTCTAGCTCAAACTGTCTGTCCTCTAGGACGGCACAGCCAAGGGCAGACTCACCCCCGGCGGACAGAGGACGGACAGGAGGAGCGGCCACAACACGAGTGGCGTAGTCAAGGCGACGCGTAGCAGTAAAGTCAGTGACAGCGGCAGTGAGGACCGCGACGGAGGAAGGAGAGGCACGAGGGTCGGTAACAAGAGAGGCGAGAACACGAGAGAGAGTGGGGTGGTACGTGCGGTAGTAGTCAGTGACCGGAGTAGACAGGGAGGCAGTGAGAGACGACTCAGGAGGGCGAGGAAGGACAGACGGAGGAGAACGAGGAGGACTAGGACGGAACAACACAGTACGGAGGTCAGTGACAGGTGACGAAGGACGAGCACGAGGAGGACGAGAGGCCCAAGTGTGGGCGAGAGGAGAGGGAGACGGAGGAGACTGAGGACGAGGGAACACAGCCGGAGCGGAGTCCGGAGGAGGAAACGTAGGACCGAACACAGGAGGAGAGGAGGGGAGACCAAGGGCCCGAAGGCCAGAAACAGGGGCCGGAGGCTGCTCCGGCTGCTGCTGTTGCTGCTGCTGCTGCTGCTGCGGCTGCTGCTGCTACTGCTGCTGCTACTGCTGCTGCTGCTGCTGCTGCTGCTGCTGCTGCTGCTGCTGCTGCTGCTGCTGCTGCTGCTGCTGCTGCTGCTGCTGCTGCTGCTGCTGCTGCTGCTGCTGCTGCTGCTGCTGCTGCTGCTGCTGCTGCTGCTGCTGCTGCTGCTGCTGCTGCTGCTGCTGCTGCTGCTGCTCTCGCTGCAACTCCAACCTCTCACGCTCCACCCGCTGCTGAACCTCCAACCTCTCATGCTCCAAACGCTGCTGCTCCTCACGCTCAACACGAAGAAGGGCCTGGTAACGAGTAGGGTAGGGGTGAGGAGGAGGAGTGGTGTCAGGAGACGAAGAAGAAGAACCAGCTCCGCCCTCGACAGTACCCGGCTGAGCACCCCCAGAGCGAGTACCCCCTGCGACAGCACGACCAGCACCTGTAGGAGGTGTACCCGCACCCCCAGTCGTGGTGCCTCCAGTGGCACCAGCACCAGTCCCAGACCCTCCAGCTCCAGGAACACCACTAGCTCCAGCACCACCAGAACGGGCAACTGCGGCAGGCGAACGCTCAGCGCCAACGCCAACACCCCCAGAACGGGCGGCTCCTGTAGGTGCACGAACAGCTCCAACGCCAGCACCCCCAGAGCGAGCACCGCCAGAGCCCTCACCTCGAGCACCAACACCCTCAGAGTCCGCATTGGGCGGTAAAGGAAGCGCTGACGGCTGCTGCGGAGGCTGTGAGGACGACTGTGGGGAAGGAGGAGAGACCTGGGGGGGTACCGAGGGGGGGGGGGGAGTAGCGTGGGACACACCAGACAGAGCGGGAACAGGGGGGGGGTACCGGAGGAGTAGGGGTGGGAGGAGGAGGAGCTGGAGCCAGGAAGAGGGGAGGGGGGGGAACCGGGAGACCTCGACAGGGGTACCGGACGTAGTAGGGGACGGACTCGTCGAAACGGACGTCACGAGAGTCAAAGAACCGGTGGGAGGGAGGGTGGTAAAAGGTGAAGTCAGAGGAGTCCTCTGGGAAACCAAGGAAGACACAGGGGACGGCGCGAGGTGAGATCTTGTCCGCAAAGGTGTCGCGGACAAGAGCCAAGCAGCCCCAGACACTAAACCTCGACGCTACACCAGGGGACCCTGTCCAAAGACTGGTCGGTGAAGCCTCTGGCCGAGAGACACGAGGCCAGAGGTTCAGCTGGTGAGCGGCGTACCGAGCCGCGTAGGGCCACAGAAAATGGGGCGCGCGGGCGTGGATCATGGAGGTGCGGGCAATCTCCATGACCAGGCCTAAGCGGCGCTCAGCAACCCCATTCTGCTGTGGAGAGTCTGGAAGAGTCCAGGACTGGGAGATGCCCTGCTCAGCACAGAATCTGGCGAGAACGCCGGAGCGAAACTCACCCCCACGGTCGGAGTGGAGACAACTGACACGACGACGGCGAGTACTCTCGGTGGCGAGCAGCCACCGGATCAGCGTAGAAGTCACGTCGGACTTCTTCGCCAAAGGGAACACGGTGGTGTACCGAGAGTAGTCGTCAACGACCACCAGAAAGAAACTCTCCCGCTCAGGGCCAAGGCGGGGAGCGGGGCCCCAGACGTCTAAGTGGAGTGTCTCAAAGGGCTCGGTGGCCGGACGAAGGGAGGAGTGAGGGGTGGCGCGCAGCCGACCCTGGACACAAGGACCGCAAGGAGGAGCTGGGGATGGCGGGAGCGGCGGAAGGACTCGCGGGAGGCCTAAGACAAGACGCTGACTGGACATAGCGCGAAGACGAGGGAGGGACGGGTGACCAAGGCGGTGGTGCCAGAGGAGGGAGGGGTGGGCAAGCGACCGACACGAGCACGACGCAGCAACGGGACCGGACACAGCAACCTGACTGGACCTGGCTACCTGGTGGGACGGAGGAACCTGACGGGGGTCGGTGTGGAGGGTGTACAGACCGGAGCCCGGCTCCTGGCGAAAAGTGGCCAAGGGGGCGTACGTGTCACCGTCCACACAGACCGCGGTGTCACCAGAAGGCTCAACCCAGAATCCAACATGCTCTCTCGCCAGGGGGGCCACACCAACCAGGTTCCTAGAGAACGTAGGAACGTGGAGGCCAGTCAGGGAACCGGAAGGAGCAGCCGGGCACGGGAGCGTAGTGGCGTGAGTCGCAATGACCGGTCCCGAAGAGGGATCGGCCAGTGCTACAGGGACTGGCGCCGACAGTGGAAGAGTCGTGTGGTCGCGGAAGAAACAGTGTGAAGCTCCCGAGTCCAGCGTGAAGGGAAGAGACGCGTCCGCCGAGGGAGCACCTGTACTAGTAGCTAAACAAGATCCTACACTAGCACCGACTCTAGCAACAGGCAAAGAGCCTACGCTAGGCACAGGCAAGTACACAGATCCAGGAGCACTATAGTCAACATCAGCATACATGGCATAAGACCTAGCATCATCCATAGTCATATCAAAAACAGAGATACCACGAGCAAGAAGTGTCCCCCAACGCGGCGGCGGGGGAGCGGAGGGGCTGTGGTCGAAGCGGTAGAGGTCGTCGAGACGACTGAAGCAGCGTGCAGCAGAGTGGTCAGGGACCCGTAAGGATCCAGTACGAGTCCCTACGTGGACCCGTAAGGATCCAGTACTCACAGGGACCAACGTCGCGACCGGCCGAGCGAGGTCCCCGACTGGAGGGGGCAGCACTGCGCCCAGTGCTCGGGGGACCCGCAGACCTCCACTGCTGCGGAGAGCCCCACGGCTGCGGAGGGCCCCACTGCTGCGGCTGCGGCTGTGGCGGGCGCTGCGGCTGGCCCTGTCGCTGCTGCTGCTGTCCCTGCCGCTGCTGCTGTCCAGGCGGTGGCAGCTGCTGAGAAGCCGGCTGCTGCTGCTGCTGGAACCCCTCACCACCAGTGAAAAATCCACCATCGAGAGGAGGGCCGTCAGGTCCCGAGCCACCCCCACCACCACCCCCACAACCTGCTCCACCGCCACCGCCACTACCCGCACCACCTCCAGTACCTCCACTGCCCTTCCCGCCCTTCTTACCGGCCTTGCCACGTTTCTGTCCGCCAGAGACAGAAACAGCCGCCGTCTCCTCAGACGCGGGGGTGGCAAGGGAGGCAGTGAAGGTGGGAAGCTGTGGTACCGCACACCCCTCAAAAAGACGAGGAGGAGGCGCGGAAGAGGCAGAGGCAACAGCGAGGAGGTTACTCTCGATCTTCGAGAGAGCGGTCTCAAGAAGATCGATGGTAAGCTCAGTGGGGTGCTTCAGAAGAAGCGCATCGCGGGCTGTGGCTAGGCGGTCAGGGAGGCGAGTGACTAGCCAGTGAATAGTGAGCCACATAGGGGGCGGGGCAAGGGCAAGCTGGTCCTCAGTGCAAGCAGCGCGAAAGCGAGCGTCAAGGGAGCGAAGGTGGGTAACGAGGTCAGAGACAGTCTCAAAGGAGGCGAGGTCAGGGTAGATAAAGGGGACGAGGAGGCGACTGAGTGAAGCAGAGGAGGGAGTGGAGTAGCGATCAACAATAGCCTTATACAGATCTGCAGCAGACTCGACCTGAGTGAAGTGGACTGCCTCTGTCGGCGGGAGAAGGTCGGTCAGGGCGAGGCAGGCAGCGGCGTCACGAGACTCCCACACGTCGCGAGCGAGGAACTGGCGCCGGTACTCGGCCTCCTGCTCAGGAGTAGGCGGTGGGGTAGTGGGCAGCAGGCTAGGCTGCGGAGGAGCGGTCTGAGTACCGGACGCGTGTGCGAACAGGTGCACGCCATCCTGCCGCTGGCTCTTAAGGTGGCGCTGCGCCTGCGTAAGCCACGTACTAAAGTCTATGGGTCTCCCCTCAGGGTCAAAACGAAGTACTCGGGAGGTCGCCATAAGGGGCGAAAGTGGGAGAGCGCGGCTGCCAGCCGCGGGAGGGTGAGACAGTCAGTGGCGTGTGGGCAGGCGCGTAGGCGTGCAGGCGGGCAGGTGATGCGGCATGCGGACAGGCGGGCGATACGGCGCGCTGGCCGGCGAGCGGCGCGGCGGGTCTACGGGCGGGCGGCGCTGCGCGCTGGCGGGCGCGCTGGCGTGTGCGCTGGCGGGCGCGCTGGCGCGCACGTTTGCAGGGCGCGCTGGCGTGGCGCGCTGGCGTGCGCGCTGGCGGGGCGCGCTGGCGTGCGCGCTGGCGGGGCGCGCTGGCGTGCGCGCTGGCGGGGCGCGCTGGCGTGCGCGCTGGCGGGGCGCGCTGGTGTGCGGGCTGGCGGGGCGCGCTGGCGTGGGGCGCTGGCGGGGCGCGCTGGCGGGCCTGCTGGCTAGGGCGCTGGCGGGCCTGCTGGCTAGGGCGCTGGCGGGCCTGCTGGCTAGGGCGCTGGCGGGCCTGCTGGCTAGGGCGCTGGCGGGCCTGCTGGCTAGGGCGTGTAGGGCAAACGGGGGGGGGCGCACCGAGGCTAGAGACGAAGTGTTAGGAAGGGCGGCGACTAGGTGTGGCCTAGGAACGGCGAACCTACTGCTGATACCATCTCACAAAGTGAAAACAGCGGAATGAGTTAGATTGATTGTGTTGGGGTACAAATGCCTAACCCTAACTGTTTGTACCCCATATAGCATGTCCCACTAGAGGCTATAACATTTGACATATGCTGCTTCCTTGTAAAGAGCCTCAATGTGAGCACCCTCTTGTGCAATGAGTCACATCACATCACGGCATACAACAACGAACCACATCAACTCGGAGACCCTCAATTGGCTGTACATTACAGGCAGTCACCTTATTGGCGTGCCCCCAAAGGCACGCATGCATTCATAGTACACTCCATCACATTGCTACCAAACATGCAAGCTCAACAGCTGGCATAACTACCTCAACTCTCAACAGCTCGGCACGAGCAAATCGTTGTGCATTTGCACCCCACCCATTCTGGAGGGCCCTCTCCGATCCTTCACCATCTCCACCCATACTGCATGGATCACTCGAGATTTTAGGCATGCCCCTCCACGAGAGGTATCTCCTAGGCTACAGCACGCAGCGGACGGTGCAGAGGGGTTCAGTTGAGTGGCATGACGCGGCGCACTTGAATGTGGTGGGTGGACTCGGAGCGCCAGATGGGCTGCCGCCCGCTCTGCACCAACGCCACGTCCTCCCCCGGCTGCACCATGCCGCGCTTCTGCTCATGGCGGGGGAAGGTGGGAAACAAAGGGTGAGTGAAGGGAGAGGGGTGGAGGAGGGGACATAAGGGGTGAGTGGAGGGGATGGGCTGCCGCCCGCTCTGCACCAGCGCCACGTCCTCCCCTGGCTGCACCATGCCGCGCTTCTGCATGTGGGGACATTGGGTTGGGGGGGGATGGGCAGAACGTCAGATGGGGAGGGGAGGGGATGTAGTGCCTGCTGCTCTGGCAGGTGGAGGGCAGGCAAGGGCGCAAGTAAGGATGGGGAGGTGGAGCGCGAAGTGAGACGCGGGAGGCACGGGTGTCGCAGGAGGCGGAGCTGTGGAAGCTAATTATTTTGATAAAAACCATATTAAACAAAAAAAAAGAGGTGTAAGGCAGGGCGCGAGGGCACGGACGAGGAGGATGCGCAGGGCCTCGTTGAAGGTGTCCTCAGCGTCGGCGGAGAATGGCATGTAGAGCGCCCTCACCCCATGGTACAGCGCCAAGTGCTGCTGCACGCGCTTGCTGCCACGGGGGAGGAGGGGGGGGTGGGGAGAAGCGGGGGTGGGAGAGTTAAAAGATGCACGTGGAGGTCGCAGGAGACAAGGTGAGTTGACTTGGGAGTATGTCCTCGTTGACTTATGCAGATCGTTGTGTGCGTGATGTGAGCCACGGGGGTGGAGGAATGCACGTATGTGTGCGGTCAGCAAGTGACAGTGGACGAGAGGAGGGCAATGGATGGGAGGAGGGCAAGGGGCTGACTCATTGGTGAAGGCGTAGGTGATGTGGGCGGGGCGGTAGTGCGAGAGCAGCATGGCCATGAAGCCCGAGCGCGTGAACACCAGCACGGACGCGCCCAGCGTGTTGGCCATCATGGTGGCGTGGAACGCAAACATCTCACTCGTGTGGCGCTGGGGTGGGGAGTAGGGGAGAATCGGAGGAGAAGAAGAGGGAAGGGAGGGGAGGGACGAGCGGGAGTAGGAAAGCAGAGGGAGGGCAGATGGAGTGGAGGAGAATGTGAGAGTGGCCGCCATGGGTAACGACGGTAGAGAGATTGCTTAGATGCACTAGTTTTGCCACTAGAGAGCAGGGCAAAGAGTTGGCAGCGAGGGTGTGGAAAGAAGAGAGCAAGGAAGTGGAGAGTGGATGAAGCAATGGCGCACGGTGTAAGGGACACTAGAAATGTTGTTACCTTGAATGCGCGGCCGAGGTTGGCGGGGGTGTTGGGGACGGACATGGTGGCCTCTGTGCGCACCGCCACTGTGTGCATCACCCTCACCGCCTTCAGGGGGAACCTGCCCGCCCACGCACACACACAGACAGGCACGCAGGGAGAGAGAGGCGCATGTGAATCTGATGAGGCGTGCCAAGGTATTCGCATGCATGTGTGAGCAGCCCGTTGGGATGATGGCACGGTCGTCCTGGACACGATGTGCTCGGGGAGTGTTTGCAAAACACAAGTTACTGATTCCAAGGCACGCCTGGCCAAGCCTGGTGGAATCAATCGAGTCACGTCCAGCAGCACTCACTTGCCGTGGGCCGTCTCCCCTGACAGCATGATGGCGTCCGTGCCCTCCCTCACTGCGATCGCTATGTCCGACACCTGAGGGGGGTGAGGGGGGCGTGGCAGCAGAGAATAGAGTAGGCTCACAAGACAACTCGATGACTACTGGTATTCAGATGGTTGGCATGGCCTGGTGGCATCCGTGCCCACTCTCACTGCCCGACACGGCACCTCAAGGCGTGGCAGTGATGTGATGGGGACATGGGGGCGTGACAGTGATGGGGACATGGGGGCGTGACAGTGATGGGGACATGGGGGCGTGACAGTGATGGGGACATGGGGGCGTGACAGTGATGGGGACATGGGGGCGTGACAGTGATGGGGACATGGGGGCGTGACAGTGATGGGGACATGGGGGCGTGACAGTGATGGGGACATGGGGGCGTGACAGTGATGGGGACATGGGGGCGTGACAGTGATGGGGACATGGGGGCGTGACAGTGATGGGGACATGGGGGCGTGACAGTGATGGGGACATGGGGGCGTGACAGTGATGGGGACATGGGGGCGTGACAGTGATGGGGACATGGGGGCGTGACAGTGATGGGGACATGGGGGCGTGACAGTGATGGGGACATGGGGGCGTGACAGTGATGGGGACATGGGGGCGTGACAGTGATGGGGACATGGGGGCGTGACAGTGATGGGGACATGGGGGCGTGACAGTGATGGGGACATGGGGGCGTGACAGTGATGGGGACATGGGGGCGTGACAGTGATGGGGACATGGGGGCGTGACAGTGATGGGGACATGGGGGCGTGACAGTGATGGGGACATGGGGGCGTGACAGTGATGGGGACATGGGGGCGTGACAGTGATGGGGACATGGGGGCGTGACAGTGATGGGGACATGGGGGCGTGACAGTGATCACGACTTGTGAATGGTGGCCCAGTGGTGCATGGTGGGGAGGGGGGAGGAGAGGCAGTGAGGGAAGAGGGGGGGAGAGGAGGGGGGGAGGGGGAGAGAGCAGGGGGAAGGAGAGGCGGGCGGTGTGTACCTCGGCGCGGGTGGGCGTGGGGTGGTTGATCATGGACTCGAGCATGTTGGTGGCCACTATCACAGGCTTGCCCAGCGCACGACACACCCGGATGATCTCCCCCTGCCGCCACCAGTGTCGTGCATGCCGTGGGGGGTGCGGGTTGTGGGGTGGAGAGGGGTGAAGGGGGGGGTGATGATGGGTGAGGTGCAAGGCATGAGTCGCGAGGCATGAGGCATGAGGCATGATGCATGATGCATGAGGCATGAGGCATGAGGCATGAGGTATGAGGAATGATGCATGATGCATGAGAGGCGAGGCATGACACGCCGTGCATTGTGTACCATGCACACGAGCAGCACAGCTGAGAGCAGCGGCAGAGCGGCCAGTGTGTGGTGCGGGCAGAGGGCATGCCTTGCAATGGCCACGGAACGAGCAACACACAAGCACAGCATCCCTGTAAGCAGCCATAATCGCACATGTTGCAGCCGCACACAAGCAACAAACAAGGCAGCACTCCCCCTCACAGGGACGCATCTGCAGCAGCAAGCATGGCAGCAAGCATGGCAGCAAGCATGGCAGCAAGCATGGCAGCAAGGCAACAAGGCGAGGGTGGCAGGGGGGAACGCACCTGCAGCAGCGGCACCTCCTCGACTGGCAGCTCCGCTCCCAGGTCACCTCGCGCCACCATGGCCTGCCCGGGGGAACCATGGGGGGAGGGGACGACAGGTGGAGGGGAGGGAGGATGAGTTTCACAGCAAAAGCCAAGGGAGTTGGGGAAGGAGGGTGCAGAACGGAATAGACTGGCATGGATGCGGTTGAAAACGGTTGGGAAGGTAGAACGAGGAGAGAAGGTGGGGGAGGTGAAGGCAGGAAGGAGCGGACAGATGGAAACAAGGAGAGGTGGGGATGGGGTGTGGGGCAGGCGGGTCAAGGTGGACGGTGAAGATTATGGAGAGGGATGGGGGGCACAAGAGAGGGATGGGTCACACAAGGGAGAGCAGCCGAACCACCACAGCCCTTCCCCCCGACCCTGTTCCAACAGTCGCTTCCCCATCAGCCACCACTCTTCTCCCTTCCTGACCACCAGCCCTCCACCCTGCACACTTCCCCTCTCCCTCTCCCCCTTCCCCTGTCCGCCATACACCCCCTGAACCCCACCCCCATTCCCCCTGGTTCCCCCCCCCCCCCCCATCCGCGCCCCAGGTCCGGTGGGCATGGGTCGCATCTTACCCCATCGGATGCCTCGAGAATGGCGTGCAGGTTGGGCACGGAGTCCGCACTCTCGATCTTGGCGATCACCCCGATGTCCGCGCCCTGGCCTGGCGGGGGGTGGCTTGGAGTTGGCCGGGAAGGGGGGGGAAGGGGGGGGAAGGGGGGAGAGGGTGGGTGAGATAGTGGGAGACAGAGGAAGGGAGGTAGCACAGCATGCAGTACAGCATGCAGCACAGCATGCGGCACAGCATGCGGCACAGCATGCGGCACAGCATGCGGCACAGCATGCGGCACAGCATGCGGCACAGCATGCGGCACAGCATGCGGCACAGCATGCGGCACAGCATGCGGCACAGCATGCGGCACAGCATGCGGCGCGGCACAGCATGCGGCACAGCATGCGGCACAGCATGCGGCACAGCATGCGGCACAGCATGCGGCACAACATGCGGCACAGCATGCGGCACAGCATGCGGCACAGCATGCGGCACAGCATGCGGCACAGCATGCGGCACAGCATGCGGCACAGCATGCGGCGCGGCACAGCATGCGGCGCGGCACAGCATGCGGCACAGCATGCGGCACAGCATGCGGCACAGCATGCGGCACAGCATGCGGCACAGCATGCGGCACAGCATGCGGCACAGCATGCGGCACAGCATGCGGCACAGCATGCGGCACAGCATGCGGCACAGCATGCGGCACAGCATGCGGCACAGCATGCGGCACAGCGGCACAGCATGCGGCACAGCATGCGGCACAGCATGCAGCACAGCATGCGGCACAGCATGCAGCACAGCATGCGGCACAGCATGCAGCACAGCATGCAGCACAGCATGCGACACAGCATGCGGCACAGCATGCAGCACAGCATGCGGCACAGCATGCGGCACAGCATGCGGCACAGCATGCGGTACAGCATGCGGCACAGCATGCGGCACACAAGTTTGGGCAGGGATTTGACACTCTCGATCCTGGCTATCACCCCGATGTGAGGTGAGCATGTGGGGCGGAGGATGTGAGGTGTGCGTTCGGGACACAGGTGAAAGACAAAGGCATGCTGTGCCATGCCATGTAGTTCCAAGGACTGCCATGTGGTGCCATGCGGTACCATGTGGTGCCACGCAGTGCCATGTGGTGCCATTTTGTGCCCAGCAGTGCCATGCGGTGCCGTGCAGTACAGCACGCACCTTTGAGGTACTCCTTGAGCTGCAGCACGACCTGGGCGTCCTTGACGAAGGAGAGGGCGTAGTAATCCACCTTGTTCTCCACGCCAAACCGAATGTCCTCCCAGTCCTTGTCTGCCCGTCGGTAGGAGGAAGGGGGACCAAGAGATAGAATCGTGAGTGAAATGTGAGTGTGTGCGTGTGTGAGTGAGCGATTGAGACGGGTGAATAGAAAAGGGATGGCACAGAGACGATAAGAGCGGAGGGCAAGGGGGGACAACATGGTGGCATGAGAGTGGTTTGGAGGGTCAGAAGAAGGCCAACACGGATGATGATGATGATGATGATGATGATGATGATGATGATGATGATGATGATGATGATGATGATGATGATGATGATGATGATGATGATGATGATGATGATGATGATGATGATGATGATGATGATGATGATGATGATGATGATGATGATGATGATGATGATGATGATGATGATGACGATGATAATAATAGCATGGGGTGGTGGTGAGGGAGGGATAAACCAAAAATATGCTCCATCCAAAAACGAGTATGTAACATATTTGTAGTTTATCAGCGCACTGATCTGTGATGGAGGGCAGCGCACTGACCTGTGATGGAGGGCAGCGCACTGACCTGTGATGGAGGGCAGCGCACTGACCTGTGATGGAGGGCAGCGCACTGACCTGTGATGGAGGGCAGCGCACTGACCTGTGATGGAGGGCAGCGCACTGACCTGTGATGGAGGGCAGCGCACTGACCTGTGATGGAGGGCAGTGTGGCGGACTTGCCGCGCACGTTGAGGTGACGGCGCGACTTGAGCTCGCCGCCGTCCACCACCTCGCACACCACGTCCTCCGCCGTCTTGCTCTTCACCTGGAACGACATCATGCCGCCTGGGGAGGTGGTCAGGGGCGGGGGGGGGGGGAAGCAAGGGCCGACGGTGGGGGGGTGGGGAGGGGAGGGATGGGAGAATAGGGGATGGGAAAGAGGATGAAACTATCTTTCTTTTCACGTGAAACGACATCATGTCGTGTGGAGGAGGAGGGGATGGTTCAGGTGGGTGGAGGCGGGTGAGGTGGGAGGGGAAGTTGAGAAGAGCGCTAGCAGGTGGCGAGACAACGTGAGGTGCGGCACAAAACAGCATGCAGATGGCGCAGAACAGAAGAGGGTGAGGCCTTGCATGGGTAATGACCGCAGCCGCGCAACACAATCGCACTAGTGCATGTGACGTCACCATGCTAGTTCACTGTCTGCGAGGATGACGTCAGCACGCCCAGACAGCCACCTCACCATCGACGAGGATGATGTCATCGACGTCCACGTCATCGATGAAGCCGTCGTAGTTGACGCTGACGGTGCGCTGCGACCCCACGCCGCGCCGGATGGTGAACGTGAAGCTCTCCCCGCGCTCCAGCTCTATGGGCTGCGGCAGGTCGCCACTCCGCACCTCGGGGCCCTGGGTTGGGGGGAGAGGAGGGGGAAGAGAGGTCGGGCGGTGGGGGGGGAGGAGGTCGGGCAGTGTGGGGGGGAGGGTGAGTGGGGGATTGAGGAAGACACGGGTCCAAAGGTGAGCAGACGACCTCTCTCCGCGCTCCAGCTATGACCTGCAGGCAGCATGCCGCCACTGCGCACCTGGGGCAGGGAAGGGGGGGGGAGAGGAGGAGGGAAGGAGGGGAGACGACGGGGTGAAGAGGGCAAGGGGGAAAGAGGGGGGGCGGAGGGCTTGGGGGGAGAGTGCGAGCACTGACCTTAGAAACAAGGACGCAGAAAAAATGAGAGAGAGTGCGAAAAGAGGGAGAGCGACGCACCTTGGTGTCGAGCATGATGGCGAGCACGTTGCCCGCGCCCTGGCTGGCCTGCCCCTTGTTGTACTCGCGCACGAGGTCCACCACGCGGCGGTGCGACTGGTGGTCGCCGTGGCTCATGTTCAGCCGCACCACGTTCATGCCCGTCTCCGCCAGCTTCCACAGCATCTCGCGCGTGTTGCTGCCCGCGCACGCGGAGGGAAACGGTGGGGCGACATTGGGGGAAGGAGGACGGGGGGGGGGGACGGGGGAAAGAGAGGGAGGTTAGTGATCGGGATGCAAGGGGAGAGGAGGTGGAGGGAGGAACGGACGTGCAAAAACCGCGTCGCAGCCAATGGGGGAAGGGGGGAAGCAATCGCAGCTGCCGCAACACTCTACCATGCCCGAAGTGTGGCGGATGGCGCACCTGGCGGGTCCGCTAACCTACCGCAAGCGCCACACCGATGGCGCACCTGGTGGGGCAGAGGGCGCACCTAGCGGGGCGGATGGCGCACCTGGCGGGGCGGATGGCGCACCTGGTGGGGCGGATGGCGCACCTGGCGGGGCGGATGGCGCACCTGGTGGGGCCGATGGTGCAGACGATCTTGGTCTTGCGCTGGTACGTGGACTGCTGCGTGGCCGCCACGTCAGAGTCCATCAGCACCTGCCGCTCCGTCTGCTGCGCTGCCGCCGCCGCCGCCGCCGCCTCCATGTCGCGCACGAACGCCGCCTGCTCCGCCGCCGCGCGCTGCCCCTGGTATGAATAGTAGCTGGGGAGGGGGATGGGGGAGGGGCGGAAGGCGGAAGAGGGTAGGGGGGAAGGGGAGGGGGAGAGCAGGGGCGAAAGAGCAGGGGGAAAATGGGAAGAGGGAGAAGGGAAGATGAGGAGACTACGTTCTGGGGACAAATTTATTGGTTGGACATGCGAAGGGGTTTGGGTGCAGAGCAGTGTGTCAGAGGCGAGTGTGAGAGGGCGAGGTGAGGCGCGAAGCAGGATGCGAGTCGTTTGACGCACCCACGCATCGTTAACGATAACGATGACGATGTTCGCACGAGATTCAAAGGATCCTCGAAGAGCATCGGGACAAGAATAACAAAAGCGCAATTTTCCTTGAAGCTTCGGGTGTCGGCGCCCGAGGCCGCCTGGGCGTATCAAATCTTGCAAGCGCAGTGGCGTTTCGAGATACGACCAAGCGAACAACCCCGAAACGAAACTCTCGAAATGTCGCGCGCGCAATTGCCACGCTGAAGTCGATCCTAGATTTGAATTTCATCCTCTTTAGAAATATCCGCTAAATTCATTAACAAATTCCATCGCCTCACCCGGTGGCGCGTCTGCCCGAGGCGCTGGTCTGAACGGCGTCGTCCTCGGGACTCACGGGCACCAGCGCGCCGATCCCCGTCCCTTCATCCTCATCCCCCGCGCGCCGCCCCAACCGCCGCCGCGCGTCCGCCCGCACAACGCACGTGCCGCTGCCGGATCGCTGCGAGGACGGGACGCTAAGGGCGGAAGAAGCGCCGTGCGTGTCGCTCTGGGAGGCGGGGAGGGCGCGAAGGCCCGCGAAGGACGCGAAGCTGACCGCAGCGAGGGCCGCCATGATGGATAGCCGCGGACACTGGAAACAATTCGGTGCGATTCGCGACAGATCGAGAGATATGGCAGCAGCAGGAGACGGAAACACGAGCTACTGGAGATGCCAAAACAATGGAAACACGAGCTACTGTGTGTGGGCTGGTTTGGAGATACCAGAAGCTTGTAATTCGGATCTTGCTGGGACGATTACTTGCGAATTGGATTCCCCTCGTTTGAGGCAGTCTCGGTTGCCTTTTGAGGCAGCCCACGGTTTCATTGGCGGTTGCTTTTGTGACACAATCGACAGTCCCGCTGGCAGGACGCTTTGGCGAGGGGATGGGGGAAAGTGATGAGATAGATGTGAGCTGGAAGGCGAACTGCCATTTGACGTGGCGGTTACGATGATGACGAGTAGGGTAGACCGCCCATGACAGTCAGACACGCGTCGGTAAAGTTCATCGTTGACGCACTATTGACGTGGAATATGAATTCGTTTCACACTGTTCTACTGATGCACTAATTATTTGACTACTTTATTGATACCACCTGTTGAGTGTGTTAACTTCAATAGTTTGAAAGGGGAGGAAACCTGGCAACATAGTCTAAAACTTGCTGGTACACTAGTACCAGTAGCAGGCGGGAAACTGGCAGTTTTTTCCAAACTGTTTCTTCAATGCTTAGGAGAGTGCAATAGTCAGTATGATAACCTGATTTTGCAGTAAACTGAGTAAATTCTTTTCTGTACAACTCCAATCCTCCAAGCATAAGTAACAACCCGTCAGACTTCCTAATTAAGTGATTTGGTCGGGTAAGGATAGCCTTACTCACCTCAGCTCGACTGCTCCAGTCCCCCCTGCCGGCTGCTTCCGGAGCTTGTGTGTGGTCTAGTGACCACAGTGGCCCTGCTGCGCCGTTCAGCCTCATGTGACACACTCTTCACAAAGACCCGTCTCCTAAGATCCGGAGAAATGTCCTTTACAGCGTCTGCGCGATGCATGAGTGGGTGCTCATACGAGGAACTGCGTCTAATTCTGGTCCGCATGGGAGTGCGGAAAGGGTGTGAATCAATGGACGCGTGGGAAACATGAAAAATGGTGCGGGAAGCGTGGGCAGTGTGGGGAGAGTGGGAGGTGTGGAGAGAGTGAGAAGCGTGGGGAGAGTGGGGGGCGTGGGAAGGATGGGAAGGGCGGGGAGAGTGGGAAGCGTGGGAAGCGTGGGGAGCATGGGACACATCGGACGCATGAGAAACGGTTGCAGCATGGGAAGCATGGGAAGCATGGGAAGCATGGGAAATGGGTGAAGCATGAGAAACGGTTGCAGCATGGGAAGCATGGGAAATTGGTGAAGCATGGGAAATGGGTGCAGCATGGGAAGCATGGGAAATGGGTGAAGCATGGGAAGCATGGGAAATGGGTGCAGCATGGGAAATGGGTGCAGCGTGAGAAGCATGGGAAATGGGTGCAGCATGGGAAGCATGGGACATGGGTGCAGCGTGAGAAGCATGGGAAATGGGTGCAGCGTGGGAAGCAAGGGAAATGGATGAGGCATGGGAAGCGTGGGGAGTGAGGGAAGCAGGAGGGTGCATGGCATGGTCGTGGTGCTGCCATTCCATTTCGCCTGCCACACCCCCCTGCCCTGCGTCCGGCTCAACCCCAGCATGCGCACTGCGACAGCTCTGACTGCCCTGGGAGCTGCTCCTCCTGGCCTCGGCCGCACTGGGTGAGGACAGCGCATCCCGCCCGCTGTGGCTCCACAGGTGCTTGAGGGAGATGCGGTGGGCGGCGCTCCACTTGCGTGTGAGCACAGGGGCATGTTGGTGAGGCGAGGCTGGCCCCGCGGAACTGTGAGAGCGCCTACCAGGGGAGAACACCCTGCGCGGTCGCTCATACCCCCCGCTGCTTGACGCACGCCCATATCCTTTGCTTCCTGAGTCCACGCTGTACCTCCTCTGGCCTGCTCCGAAGCTGTCAGGGTCGGTGCGTGACCGAACCAGCGACGGCGTGAAGGACCACCTGCTCCCATGCCCTGCCTCCTCGCGCTCCCTGTCGTCCTCATCACACCGCTCCCTTCCTCTCTCTCTCAACCTGTCCGCGCGATGCCCCATCAGCACCCCATAGCACCCCACCAGAGCAGCAGAGTCGCTGTCGGGAGACGGTGGAGAGCCGCCATCCCCACTGCCTCCACTGCCAGCCGCTCTGCCCTGTGAGCCCCAGCTGCGGGCTCTCGCGGTGATGTGCTGCTCCACATCACCTCCCTCCAGGCCCAACCTGCTGCGCCGCACCACCAGGGCCCCGCTGTGAAAGATGGAGTCCAGGCCAATCCAACCAGGCCGGATGGCTTTGTTGGGTGTGGAGGTGGGTGTGGTGGAGTTGGGTGTGGTGGCGGTGCTGCTTTTTCTGCTGAGGGGCGAACTGATTTCAAGCCGGCCAGTGTTCCACGCGTGATGAGGTTCCGATTTGCTTCTTACAAGATTGTTACCGTCTTCCCCTTCGCCAATTTCGCTAGAGTAACTGGAAGTCGCGTCAGCGTCAGCCAGTTCGCCAGCCATTCTGTCTCCCCCGTCGCCACGGGCCAAAGCACCCCTACTACCAGTTGTGAAACTTCGCCTTGTAACGTGGACGTCATTCTCCCCCAAGGACCGCGAGTGACGAACGCCACAAGGCGGCGAAACGGAGTGGCTAACAGCAACCTTGTTGGTCTGCCCTAATCTGTAACCGTCGCGTTCGCTGTGAAACCTCGATAAGCCTCGACTGGTTTGCACACCCGCCCAACTGTTTCTCCCACCACCACCCCCGCCGCCAGTAGCGCTGCTGCCCGTGCCCGCGCTCCACGTGGCACCCCGCACAAGCGCACGTGGAGAAGCGCGCATCACTGGCGAGGCCCGTGGCGAAGCTGCTGCTCTCACGGGCGAACTGTCACACAGCAGCACGGGCATGTACCTGCCGCTGCTGCTGCTATCGCCGCTGCCCTCACTCCCTGCTCGCTCGATCTGCCTCGCCCCTTCGGGTTCCCCGTCCCCCTCCTTCTCCTCCTCTTCCTCCTCCACCTCGTCTTCGTCGCTTCCCGCGAGTGTAACATAGTAATCATCTTGCCCTGCATACTCAACTTGCCCTGCGTATTCATCTTGGGCGGAATCATTGCCTTGGGCGGCAAACTCATTTTGGGCGGCAAACTCATTTTGAGCGGCAAACTCATCTTGGGCGGCAAACTCATCTTGGGCGGCAAACTCATCTTGGGCGGCAAACTCATCTTGGGCGGCAAACTCATCTTGGGAGGAATCGTCCTCCGTGGAATCGGAGCAGTCGTCTCTCACACCACCCTCGACCGGATCACGTTGCGACACGTCGTCGTCGCCCCTTCCGCGCGCCCGCGCCTCCTTGTGTCGCGCAAGCCCACGAGCCGCCCCGACGGCCTTCGCCGCTGCCTTGGCGGCGGCGGACAGCACGCCCAGCTGACTCCCCGCCTTTCCTCCTGGCGCGTGCTCAGCCCCGGAGATGCTCCCGCCGCCGCTCCTGCAGCTCCCGTCGTTCGTCTCGCCGCCGAAAAACCCGCTGTTGCCGGCGGGTTGCGCAACCAGCTGAAGGAGGCTGTTGTTGTCGTGGTTTCGGCTGCTGCTGCTGCTGCTGCTGCCGGTCTTCCTGCCCGGCGCGTCCACCGTGTCGTGCTCCTTCCATCCCTCCACCGCGCGCTCGTTCACGCGGTGCCCGCGCTGCAGCGAGGGCCGGCGCAGCGTCGCGACGAGCAGCCTCCACACGTCGTGCGCCTCGCGCACCACGCGCAGCGCCTTCCGCGCAGATTTCTCCCAGTCGTCCGCGTCGCTGCGCTGCGGGGATTCGAGAATCCGCAATGCGTTCGGCCCCACTGTAGTGAACCCTCCCGCGTCGGCCCACGCCTTCACTTGCGGCAGTGCTGTCGCCGCGACGGCCGCCGTGTCCCCCGCCTCGACTAGCGTATCGTCCGCCGCTACCACGACCAGCTTCCACGAAACTTCCGACTTCAAGCCCGGCCGTAGGCGCACGGGCAGCGCGAGGAGCGGCAGCACGGGGAACACGTCGCCGGGGTCGCGCTCCCTTGCGCCCACCTCCACCGCCTCCAACGGCGCGTTGTCCAGAATCACGGGAAACGCGGCGTCGGGCTCGGCGAAAGGGTCGCCAGAGGTGTCGCTAGAGGCGTCGCCCAGAGGGTCGCGGAAGGGGACGCAGGACACGGAAAGCGAGCGGAAAAAATCGCGCCTGATGGTAGCGACGGGTTCGCTGGGGGGGAGTGCGGTTGGGGTCGGTTCGGAGGGAACTGGAGCGAGGACGCAGGTCTGCGGGATAATGCCGACGTTCCACGGGCGCTGCTCCGCGTCGTCGACGCGCACGCTGCCGTCGAGCGACAGGCGGCGACGACGACCGGAGAGCGACGCGGCGAACGAGGAGGATTTACCGGACGTGCAAATGAAGTTGAGCAGCGGGGGGAGCTTGCTGCGGGACGAGCGGGGGCTGGCGGCGGCGGGAGAGGGGGAGAAGAGGACGACGTCGTGCCAGATGGAGACGACAAGGCCCGCGCGAATGAGCGGAAGGAGGTTGCCTTGAGGCCGTTCCGACATGATGCGCGGCGACGTGGAGAACTATGTTGGGCGAAAACATGACTGATTATCTAGAGGTGAACTAGGTAGCTAGCGAGAATGTGGGAATGGTGGAACGGAACTGCAACATTAGGATGTGGGATTCCTTGAGTGTCGCTCAGCAATGGCGATGAGTGGCAAAGCAGTCGAGTTGTTTATAGAATTAGAAAGCTTGCTTGTTTGGTTTGGTCGTTCTTGGCAGGGGCTCGACGTTTTTGGATTTCTTGGTTTCTGGCTTGTCATCGTCACTCCTTGCGTGGCTTGGCTTCGGGGGGACAATGTGCCCCTTTGGAAGCATTACTTTAGTAACCGAACCTGTCCGCAATCTGCCATTCCAAGGAAATTTCAATTCCCTTACGCCGCGTCCCTGCTACTCACCACAGTCACCACCGTTACCAATCGCGACATTCGCCTCGACTGTTTTCCCGCCACCTCGGCTCGGCTGGTAACCCGCGCTCCGGGCCTCCGCCTCGACACTTCCCGATCTCAGTCCCAACCTAAGTCCCAGGCCCGTCGCGCACTACCCACAGTTCGTTACAGTTACCATTGTGGCCTTCGCTATTTAGTCCTCGCTCATGCCTTCGCTCAATGTACTGTTTTGCTTCGATAGTGCAATTCTCGCTCGCTCACTCAATTGCACTCGTAACACTTGGTATTCAGAGCCTACGATCTCTTCTCGGACCGCATCCACACCTTCGCTTCCCCACTATCTCAATTTTTGGGGGGGGTAGACGCCTCTCAACGAACCAGCACCACCGCTCGAAGTGCTCTCTCGTAAGCACGCACGGCCACGACAGAGGCTCTCGCTGAGCTTGCCCGACACCCCCGCCATGGATGAATTCACGCTCGCTACGTTGACGCAGGAGCAGCTCGACCGCCTCGTGAGCCAACTCGAGAATTCCGCTCTCGAAGTTGCGATGCTCACGGCGGAACTCGACGCCGCGTGCCGGCAATCTGCGACGAACGCACCTGCACCAACACCAACTACAAATGCACCCGCACAAACGGACAAGCCAATCGAGATCTCATCAGGCACACCATCGCAACACGACAGCGTGGGACAGCGCTTAGGCACAGCCAGTGAAGGCACCGCCCAACCAATGTCGGGTATGGAGAGAAACAGGACCGTACCAAGCACGTCGGGGCCTCGCGAAAACCGTCGGCATGTGATGTTTGCAGCAATAAGCGGCAACAACGAAGTCACAACGTCGATGTTACTCAAGCCACAGCGCCCGCCCTGTTTCGACCCAAGCCAACGTAGAGGCCCGGCGGTTCAATCGTGGACTTTCACGATGAACGTCTTCTTCGACGCGAATTACGTCAAAGACGATGCAACGAATATTCGCTATGCCGTTTCGCTGCTGAGGGGCCCCGCCATGGACTGGTGGCGAGTCATCGTGACGTCGCCATGCGCCTGCGAGCCGCCGTTGCAAGAGGGAGAGTCCTCGGGGCCGGCCATCACCTGGAGTTCGTTTTGCAAAATCGCCCAGTATAGCACATGGGATGCGTCGTGCGCCGGGCTTCGGGCGCGCTTCGTACCGATCGTGACTTCAATTTCGGCGCACCAGAAAATGCGCACTTGGCAGCAGCTCGGGTCGGTCCAAGATAAACACCAGCAGTTTTCTCGCGCCGTGCGAGCATGTCGGTTACATGCACGAGGCGGAGCGGGTGGACCGTTACGTTGGGGGGCTAAAGCCGGACATCTCGCACGAAATCATGCTACGCGGGCTCTCGAACTTCAACGAGATTCTCGCGCTCGCCGAGAAAATCGACATTTTGCGCCGACCGAGACCGGGGTCCTACTACGGACATCACCCTCAGGGACCGACCGAGCACGCCACCATACATGCCGTCGCGACGAATGCAGCTACCGTGCCGTTTAAGGGGCGATGCTTCGCTTGCAACAGGCCGGGCCATCGCAAGAGCGAGTGCCCAGAGGAGCAAAAGCGCATGGAACAGTGCAAGGGAAGGAATCTCAAAGGCAGGGAAACGCCAGCAGTCAGTAGAAAACGGGCCAACTACTGACGAGATTACCTGCTCGCCCAACCTCACCGACCCTCACCGAGTCATAGTACCGATTCACGCTATCGACCGGGCTTGGCTGAATAAGGAGGGTACAGCGACGGATTGCCCAGTACTGATCCATGGGAAGTTAGAGGGAGCAGCAGTGAAAATCTTCATAGACGGAGGGGCAAGTCACAGTTTAGTTAATACCGCGACTGCACGGAAGCTGCAACTGCCACTTAGTCGGTGTTTACCGGAGAGATAGATGCACGCTTAGTTGACGGCACGCCTCCAGCCATTCGGGAAAAAGTGGAGAGAGTAAAAGTTTGCTGCAGGGGTAACTTCGGGTTTACACAGGAAATGCTCGCGACGACACTGGATGGGCACGACATTTTACAGGGACGTGATTGGCTGCGTCGATACAACCCGCGAATTGACTGGACGACGGGTAGCTTCACCGTGCGAAGTAGCGGTAACTGGGTCGAATTACCTCGCTGGTAGATGCCCGAGTCTTCAACGGTCCACGTCAACGCCATCACGATGAAATGGGTTGTCGCCGCTGGAGCTGACGTGTACGCAGTAGATATAGTAGTGGGAGAAACAGAGGCGTCGAGTGATTTTCAGAAACTCCTGGCAGCAGTACCACCCGAACTACAGGACCTGTTGAAACGCTACCCGGGGATTTTCCCGGATGACTTACCGCAGGGACTGCCAGCTCAGCGAGCACACGATCACCGAATCGAGTTAGAACCAGGGGCACAGCCAACCGTACAGCGACAGTTTCGACTGACACAGCCCGAGCTTGACAAACTAAGGAAGCAGTTAGATTACCTGTTAGAGAAGCAGTTCATCCGACCGAGCTCGTCACCGTTTGCCGCACGATACTGTTCACACCGAAAAAAAGACGGAGGATTTCGCATGTGTATTGACTACAGGGCACTGAACCGCGTAACCATCAAATTGCGCTACCCGATCCCCCGAGCCGACAAACTGATCGATCAACTGCGAACAGCCCGAGTGTTTTCGAAGATTAACTTACGGGGGGGAAACCATCAGATTAGAGTAGAACCGTCGGGCTGCGCCAAGACATCTTTCCGCACTAGATACGGATCCTTCGAGTACACCGTTATGCCTTTCGGACTGACCAACGCCCCCGCCACTTTCCAAATGACCATGAACGAGATATTTCGACCCCTTTTAGATAAGTGCGTCATCGTCTACCTCGACGACATTCTAGTTTACAGTCGGGACAAGCAGCAATACTTAGCGGACTTAGGAGCGGTCTTTACGATTTTAGCCGACAACCACCTCCTGACCAAGGGTTCGAAGTGTGAGTTTTTTCAGGACCGACTAGAATTCTGGGGCACGTGATTTCGGAGGCTGGAGTCGAAATCGACCCTAAGTAGCTGGATACGGTCAAAGCGTGGCGTCCCCCGACAAATCTCACGGAACTGCTTAGTTTTTTAGGGTTCGTTAATTACGTCCGTCGGTTCGTCCCCGACATGGCACGGTTGACTGCCCCGCTGACTGACCTACTACGGAAGGGGGAGGAGTTTACATGGGGGGAGAAAGAGCATGCTGCCTTCTCTGCCCTGAAAATTGTTCTCTGTACCCCGCCCGTCCTGCGCATTGCCGACCCCCACCGCGCGTTCGAAGTCATTACGGACGCCATCGACATCGCCATCGGAGCTGTACTGTTACAGGATTTCGGCAACGACCTACAGCCCATCACGTACGAATCACGGAAACTGCACCCGCCCAAGAAAAAGTACCCGATACACGACCGCGAAATGCTCGCGATCGTGCACGCCTTCAAAGTGTGGCGGTGTTACTTGACCGGAGCAGACGTGACAGTACGGACAGATCACAAATCGCTACAGCACCTCCGCGCACAGCCCAATCTCAACCCACAATAGATTCGCTGGCTCGATTTCCTCGAGTCAAATTTCCATTACACAGTCACCTACAAAAAAGGGGCATCGAACATCGCCGACGCACTGACCCGCCCCACTGCCCAAATCCACGCCATACTACTCGCCCAGACCAGCCCTCTACTGACAGGACTATTTACCCACGGGTATCAAACGGACCCATTCTTCACAGGAGGCCATTCGCAGCAGTAAGCGGGGTGTATTATCTAAAAACTGGTACCGATCACATCTGGGTACCAGGGTACACTTTGCTAAGGGAGCTGTTACTACAGGAAGCACACGACGGCGTTACCTCAGGTCATTTCGGGGTAGAGAAAACACTGCAGCAGCTGCAGCGGTACTATTACTGGCCCAAAATGTGGATCGACGTACAGCGACACGTGGCATCGTGTCCCACCTGCCAACTCATGAAATCATCACGGAAGCGGCCGGCAAGGCAGTTGCAGCCGATACCACCACCAGAGCGTGCTTGCCAGCAGCTGACAATGGACTTCGTCACGGGGTTACTGGCTGGGGCAAGTGGGAACGACGCGATCCTGATCGTCGTTGATGGTTGACGAAGATGGAGCATTTCGGAGCATGCAAGAAATCCATCTCAGCCGAAGAAACAGCTCGGATCTTCATCACAACTGTCGTTCGATTACACAGGATACCAGCAGCAATCATTAGCGATAGGGACACGAAATTTACCGGCAACTTCTGGCGGAACCTGTGGCAGCAGTTGGGCACACGGCTACAGTTTAGTTCTTCGTACCACCCCAAGACCGACGGACAGACCGAACGGACAAACAAAACCGTGGAACAGCTCATCCGAGCCACGTGCGACGATCCTGGCACCTGGGAGTAGCAACTGCCACTCATCGAGTTCGCATACAACAACTCGCCATCCGCCACGACCCAACAGTCACCATTTTACCTAAATTACGGACAAGACCCCACAGTACCCATGACCCCGAATCGCGACAACCCCGTGCCACCTCCTCCTCCCTGGTGACTGGTATGTCAGCCCATCATTCCACGTCAGCCTCCTCTGCCCCTACGTCCCTTTTACAAGCCAATTGCCTCGTCACCGCCCAGCCAGCATGACCCGACCACCCACCGAACCAGTGATCACCCCCAAGAAAATCCTAAGCCACTGCATACGTGACCCTCGTGGAGCTTGCAGGATCGAGTTCCTGATTTGCTGGAAAGATCGCACCCCGACTGAAGACAACTGGGTACCCCTGGACAAGATCGAAAACCACCGTGTGTCCTCACCGACTATCTGCGCTGCCGCAATTTCCAAGATGTACACGCACTCTCGTAAGGAGGGCCTCCTTAGTGGGGGGGTAGTGTAAGGAAATTTCTATTCCCTTACGCCGCATCCCTGCTTAGCGCGTACATCACTGTACTCACCACAGTCGCCACCGTTACCACTCGCGACATTCGCCTCGACTGTTTTCCCGCCACCTCGCCCGTCGCAACCCAACCTCACGGCTCGGCTGGTAACCCGCGCTCCGAGCCTCCGCCTCGACACTTCCCGACCTCAGTCCCAACCTCAGTCCCAGGCCTGTCGCGACACTACCCACAGTTTGTTACCGTTACCACTGTGGTTTTCGCTATTTAGTTCTCGCTCATGCCTTCGCTCAATGTACTGTTTTGCTTCGATAGTGCAATTCTCGCTCGCTCACTCAATTGCACTCGTAACAGCCATACGTAAATAACTTCCAAAACTAATACCTACTAAATTATTAAGGGTACATTCTCATCTGGACATTTGTGTCTCAATCCCTGATTTCACGAGTCGCGCTTGCACATTTACCCAGCCTCGCGTCACAAAACGCAAATGTACAGCGACACGTTGCGACCTAGCGATGTGTCCAGATGTTCTCATGACATTGGCTGCGCCTATACTGAATGCGACAAGTCGTTTTGGGGCCGAGCGGGGACACAACACACGAGTGCATCAATCGGGCCCGCCGAACCGTGTCACTATATCGCAACTTGTAAAAGTTGCATTCCACACAATCCAAACATGGATCCCTGACACAACATCACCCCTGACACTTGACAGCTACAAAATGCCACCAGCAACAAACGTACAACAAGTCCTACTATGGAAGAGCCCCGCACTGTGCCATTTCTCTTGCGTCTGCTGATAGCATGGATCACGTTCTACTATTCCATATTCATGGATGCAGTTGGAAAGGCAGTAGGGGGCTTGCTTGAGAGCAACGTCTTCACGTAAGCGCCGTCGCCAGCGACCTCAACGTGCTCCAACAAGATTGCTGAACTGGAAAGACGCAACCATCTACGCGTTCGTCAGTTTGAGCTATGGCTTTAGGTCCTGCAAGGCATGAGCAACGGGGAGTTCAGAGACATATTCAGAATCAACTACCAGGTATTGGAATACATAACAGTGGGGATGCAATACTACATGCAACCATATGTCGAGCGGAGCCCTACCCTCACACATGAAGTAGCGGTTCTCGTGGCCATCAAGCATCTTGCCAGCGACATGTCGTACGTGGATATGTCTCACCTGTTCGGGGTACCGAAGACGCTCTGTCATGCCCTCGTTCATGTCTTCTTGATGCACTTCCCGCGATGAGCTGGACGAGATGGCCAAGGAGTTCCGCGCTGTCAAAGAGGTCCTGCGGTGGTGGGGGCTATCGATGGCACGCACATACACATGAAAGGGATGGAGGGGCATCCCCACGAGTACTACACGCGCAAGTCTGCGTATGCCATACAACTGCAGGTGAGTCGCCAACAACATCATTTGAGATAACCTCATTGGATACCCAGGAAGCGCACACGACCAATGTGTATTCATGAACAGTGCGTTATACGAAACGTTGCATAACGGCGACATAGCGCCATATCAAATCGTGGGAGATGTAGCCTACCCACTCAGATATTTCTGCCTAAACCCACTACATGCACCACGGGAGGGCCTAATGGAAGACTGGGAGCAGTGCTTCAACTACTGCCAGAGTGTGACGCGCATAGCAGTAGAGCGCTGCATCGGCGCCTTCAAGGGCAGATGGCGTCTATTCGCAGGCCGCAACGACTGCAAGCTGCGGCGCGTGCTTGCAGGGGCCTCATGTTGCGTGATCCTGCACAACATGTGTGAGACAATGGGAGGGGTAAGGCGCATCAACCTCGGCTGGGCCACCCTGCCACGAAACAAGGACCTCTGGTGGACACGCGGTGCCGTGTCTGAGTTCAAGTGGGAGCTGCGCGATCCTTGCACTCAAGCGATGTTGAGAGAAAGGTGCAAACCACTTGGTGAGGCGCTGGACTTGTCGTACCTTACTCGGAGGCACCGCGAACCCACACCTCCTCCTCCGGCGCCTCGGGGTTAGCGGATGCGTCCTCTGCCTGCGGGCGACGATACCATCCGTCGTCGGCGCCTCCTGCGCCGGCCGTCGTGGGCTGAGCGGCCGTCCCCTCAGGAACGTCGGAGTGGGGTGGTGGAGCTGGGGGGTGCTGTTGCATGCGCTCGCGCGCAAGATGCTCATCCTGCTACATCCATTCACGTACGAGGCCCTCGAGCTTGGACATCACGTCGACGTGGCACCCTTTGATGGTGTCACATACCAACTTAGATGCCGCCATGGTGGCAATCTCGACGACACGCGGACGCTTCGATGTCGGAGTACTCTGCGGAGGGGGCTCTGGAAAGTAGGAGGATAACAAAGGGGTTTGATATTAGCCGAATGTATTCCGAAACTATGTAACGGAGCATTAACACATTCATGAGCGGGGACAAAGTACACGGGAACGCAGTTAGGACCAATCGTACACTATGAACCAGACCAATCATGACGTAAACAATCACATACCAGTGAACGTTGGAGTCAAGGTTGCACGGGCCGAAGTGGAAGGCACGGCAAACCCGCAGGGCACGTGGACGTTTGTCGCACCGCCACCGTCCACGGCGTGCGGACCCGCCGTCGCACGGTTGTCCTGGTACAACTCCATATACGGCCACCAAGGAGGCTTGCACACCGCACCCTTCCCCGAAGCCCTCTCCCCCTTCTTCAACTGTTTGTAGATGCGTAGGAGGTTGCGCCACTGCTTCTGCACCGCATTAGTGCCGTGCACCCACCCGGGGTTCTCCTTCTCGATGTGCGCCACGAGGCAGGCCCAGTACTGAGACCCCTGTTTGCCGATGAGGGGCTCGAGATCGTCCTTGGCAAACCATCGCGCCGCGACGAAGATCGGGTTCTCTCGCTGGAACCAGACGCTCCGCTTGACAGGAATCTGGTTGAGGGACTTCGGCGCACGGCATGGGGGATCACCTCCCTTGGGCGCGGTTTTACCACCCCTCGCTGCCGTGGGGCGCCCGCGACGCGCAGCTTGTGTCTCCGGCTGCACCTCCTCCGGCGCGTCGACCTCGTCGGCCTCAGCCTCATCATCGTTGTCTGACATGCCCTTGTCCTCCTCGTCGCCAGAGTTGTCGTCGTCAGAGCCGTCGTCGTTCTCGTTGTAGTCGAAATCATCTTCATCGATCTCGTTGGCGAACGTGTCGTCGTCAACAGTACGCGACGACGCCACCCTGTCAGCACCACGATGCACACGGGACGGCACGTCACGAGGAGCTTCAAACGAGGTACCGCCAGCAGACGGTATCCCCTCGGGTACAGGGCCAGCGGGCTTGCGACCAGCAGCTATCTGCTTGTTCATCCATCCGATGTACGGGATCTCGTTGAGATCCTGCGGGCAGGTGTCGTGCGTATCCACAGCGCTCTTGCACTTACGGGCCATAGCTTCCTAGCTTGTAGATCTAGCGAGTCGGCTGAAAGAGATACAAGAAATGAAGATGCAAGGAGATGGAATTTATGGAGAGGGAGGGTTGGGTACGAGCATGCAGGGATGGAGTGGGTTCTGTGCGAGTGCACGGAGCATGTATGTAAGGGATGTTTTCGGCTGCCCGAAGTGGGCGGGTTCCTTTCCCACTCAAATCTAGCATTTCGTGGGGTGTCCAGGTGCATGCGGACGTGTCAGCCGAACCCTAGACATTTCGACACGCATGCGACGAGTCGGACGTGACCTGGCCTCGTCCAACTCGTCCGCGACTCTAGCGCATTCCACGCCAACCAATGTAAAATACAATACAATTCACATTAGGGCGATGCGCGTTTGTGACACGACACGTTCTATGCTGTTTTTACACGTCACAAAGTGATTGAGAGACAAATTTCCAGATAAGAATGTACCCTAAGAGTTTAACAAGAGTCGTGTTACGAGTGGAATTGAGTGAACAAAACGAGGATTGCACTATCAAAGCAACAGTACATCGAGCGAAGATGAGAGAATGTTATATAGCAACCCTAAACCCCAAGACCCTGAGTAGGCTTGCGGCGTGCCACCAAGAGAACATCGCAGCTGAAGGTTCATGCGATAAATAAATGCTCAATGTGGCAAAAGATCGTTCGTGCCAAGGCAGGACCAGATTCTGGGGGTAACAAACAAATGCCCTCCCTTCTCCCCCCTACCCCCTTCCCCCGTCCTTTATTCGCGTCAGGGCGTTCCTCACTTTCATCCTGACACTTCAGGGCATAATATCGCTACCATCCTGAAATTTCAGGTGAAACATTCGACATCATCCTGAAGTAACAGGGTGGAAATCAACACTATCCTGAAAGTACAGGGAAAATGCATAAAAGCATCATGAAATTAGGGTAATCAGGATGTTTTACCCTGATATCGTGGGCCCTGAAGGCAGGTCCAGCTTGAAAACGTATTTTGACGAAGCGAAACGAGAACGACTTTGGGTTGGAAACACACTTTTCCAAACATCTCCCATTGAAATACTGAACTCAATGTGATTGGTTCCCGCCCAAAAAAAAAAAAAAAAAAAGGTTCGTACTTGCGGGGATTGCATTTCTGTGTGTGACATTTGCACGACAGTTGTTTGTCGTACGTTTTCATAGTTGGCCCAAATTCTGGTTCAAGCAGTCACGATCGCGATCGGTATGCCCTCCCGTTGCCCTCCCATTGCCCGTGACGTCGCCCTTCTCCTCGCCCTTGCTGTCGCCCTCTCGTGGCCCTCCCTATTGCCCGCCCGTCGACCATCTTGGTGCCTTTCTCTGTGCCCTACCGTCGCCCGTCCCGTCGCACATCACGTCGCCCTCTCGTCGCCCGTCCCGTTGCGCAACATGTCGCCATCCCGTCGTCTGTTCCGTCGTTCGCCCCATCGCCCTTCCCTCTCCCTCGCGCCGCTCGTCATGTCAGAAAGTAACGAGCAGGAATGACTTCACTAGCAAGGAATGAAACTACAAGTATCTAACCCTAAAAGGGTTGTACTCTATCCCCACTACAGCCTACAAACATATAAATTAGTTTTGACACACCCCCATAGGCAAAGTGGGGGATAGCAAGAACAAACAATGATCACAAGACCAAGCAAACGCAACAAAGCAAAGCTCAGGGTGGATCAGAAAGAGATCACCACACAGTCCGAGCACAAGCAAATGGTCACAAGACCAGTTCACATGCAGAGTTATAAAGAGCACATGTAGTACAGTGATCACAACCTAGCAAGAGTAAGCATGCAGGCATATATATAAAGATCACTGTACAAGGCAAAGTCAAGCAGTAAGCAAGTGAGGCAGAGTAGGCACAAGGCCTAGAGCAGTGCAGAAACGCTGATGATCACCAGACGGAAGTGTCTTGGTGAATATATCAGCAGTGTTGGCCCGTGTGGCCACGTAAGCAAGACGAAGCTGACCACGCTGCTACAAACTATCGTGCGAGGAAGTAATGAAGAGCGATATGCTTCGTTCTGTGCTCCAGTCTGTGCTCCTGACACAAGGCAATCATGGCCTTGTTGTCGACGTACAGAACCGGAGGAGAACGAGGCTGCTCTCCCAAGTCAGTAATTAGGTAGGCCAGTTAGCGTAACTCCTGTGCAGCCATTGCCCCCGCATAGATCTCAGCCTCACAACTGGAGCTGAGAACAGAAGTTGAGTGGGTAGACCTCCAGGAAATTGAACCGGAGCCAAGGCTGAAGGAATAACCCTGTGACGACCGCTGAGTAGCCTGGTCGTCCGCCCAAGAAGCGTCTGAGTGTCCAGTGAGGACAACTGGACCCCGTCCTCCAAGCACAAGCCCCATGCCTGATGTACTGCACAAGTAACGTAGTGCCCTCTGAGCAGCTGTCCAGTGCTCCTTCCGGTGTCTCCCGGGTGCAACGAAGCGAGCAAGGATGCTGAGAGGGTACGCGAGGTCAGGTCGTGTGCACGTCATCAGGTACATGAGGCAGCCTACAAGCTCTGGATACTTACCACTCGGCTCTATAGACTCGTCCGAAGGTAGAGCTGAGAGTGAGCGGTTCGTAGGAAGAGGAGTGGCATGTGGCGAGGAGAACTGAAAGCCGAAGCGCTGAAGGACCTGGTGCACCATGTGTGACTGAGTCAGAGTAATGGTGCGCCGTGCTCTGTCCCGAGTGATCTGCAAGCCAAGATAGCTGCGCAGCTCACCAAGGTCAGTGCAAGTGTGTCTCTTCTGCAGCTCCGCCTTCACAAGGGCCAGTGCCTCAGTATCAGCAGTAGCAAAAACCAACTCGTCGACGTACACGAGGATGTAGAACAGCGGCAGCGAAGGGTCAGTGCGCAAAAACAGCGACGGGTCAGCAGTCGAAGGAGCGAACCCAAGAGCCGCAAGTGTAGTCCTTAGTGTGTCATGCCACTTGCGGGGCGCCTGGCGGAGACCATAGACGAGCCGCCGGAGGCTCCACTGGGTACCCTCAAGAAATGACCCACTGAAGGAAGCCAGGTGGGCGGCGTAGCCAGATCTCCTCGTGTAGGCTGCCCTGTAAGAAAGCTGTGCTGAAGTCAAGTGAGTGGATTTTGTAGTCACGCTGTGCTACAACATGCAGTAACACCCGAAGAGCGGTCATCTTCGGGGTGGGGGAGAAGGTATGGAAGAAGTCGACCCCCTGTCGCTGACTGAAGCCTCGTGCAACGTAACAAGCCTTAAAGACAGGCGGATAACCAGGCGGCCGCTTTACCCTGAAAATCCACATGCCATCGACTATGTTCGCCCCAGGTGGGGGAACTACGTCAACGTGCCTGTGCACTTCCGGGATGCCATCTCTGCGTCCATGGTTGTCTGGCACTGAGAGGAGTAAGGACCCGTAATTGCCTCTGCGTAAGAGCGCGGGGTCGGGATGTCTAGTGCATCCGGGTCTCCCTCGGGGGCAAGCAGCATGGCAGCGAGATGAGGTACAGCAGCTGCAAGACAGTCGAGCTCAAAATACCTGTCCTCAAGGACGTCCGTGCTAAGGGCACACTCACCCCCGACGGACGGAGGACAGTCAGACTCAGACTCAGTGACAAGACTCGCGACGTAGTCGAGACGACACGCAGCAGCAAAGTGAATAAGCTTAGTGGCTAAGGCAGACGCAGCAGTAGACTCAAAAGTAGGGTCAGTGAGAAGAGTGGCGAGAACACGCGTGACAGTGGGACTAGTCGGTGTGTAGGGGCAGCAGTCAGTGTGTACAGGCCAGAACCAGGCCTCCGTATGAACATGGCAAGGTGGCGGCCCGTTCGAGCACACGTACAGATCGCCACACGCGCATCTCCAGGAGTAGTGGTAGTGACCCATCTCATCCTGAAGGACGTCGTTAGTCACCAAGTTCGTAGAGAACGAGGGGAGGTGAAGACCTGAGAGTGAGGTAGAGGGGACTGCTGGACACGGAAGAAACGTGGAGAGCGGTGTGACTGTTGTGCTGTCTCGAAAGAAACAGCATGACGCGCCAGAGTCAAGTGTGAATGTGTGCAAGGCCTCAGCACGAGTAGCACCAGGGACAGCAGACGCACTAGCACCTAGAGCAGCGGCGTCTATACCAAGATCTGGAGGCACACACAAGGAACAATCACCCTCAGCACTAGCAGAGCTAACAGACATAGCATGCATGTACGCCAGAATCTTATCAAAGCCAACATGAAAGACGTCGACCCCACTCCTGAGCAAGCCTAACCAGTTGGGGATCTTAGTGTCAACACCGTACTCGGTGCGCCAGGCATCCTCGAGACGGAAGAAACAACGGGGCTCAGTGTGTCCAACCTTCGAATAGGGGAAACTAGCCCGAGGACCTGTACGACTGATGTACGAGCAACGAACACTACCCCCCGAAGGGCCACACTGAACAAGCCACTCACGAAGCTGCTGAGGCGTGAGCGTCTCAAGCTGGCGGTGCTACTGCCACTGTCCACCCCAAGAGCCTCCACTACCGCCACCACCGCCACTACCGCCACCGTCGTCACCACCGCCTCCACCGCCGCCACCACCGCCCCCGCCGCCGCCACCACCGCCACCACAACCGCCACTGCCGCCACTACCACCACCGTCGCCGCCACCACCACCTCCACCGCCGCCACCTCCACCACCGCCACCTCCACCAGCACCACCCCCACCACCCTTGCTCCCCTTGCGCTTGCCGCTGTGGTGCCTCCCGCTAGGAGCAGACGTAGCACCAACCTCCTCAGCATGAAGGAAGTCAACAGTAGCAACAGAGGCAAAAGAGGGCGCAAGAAGAGACGGGGGAAGGGGAACACCCCTCAAAGAAAGGAGTGCGTGGAGTGCCAAGAGAAGCAGCGACAACTACGGCACTAGTCTCAGCCGTGAGGAGCTGCTTCTCTAGCAAATCGACAGTGAGCTCGGTGGGGTCAAGGGCGAGGAAGTGATCCCTAACTGCGCAAAGAGAGCCAGGAAGGCGAGTGACGAGGAAGTAAGGGGTGAAGTACATAGGGGGCGGGTTC